ACGGTAGAATCTGAAAACAAGCATTGCAGTAAAAACATTTTGTCAATGTTTCATTTTCAAACAAACCAGCCCCTGAACTAAGAAACATTAGGGACAGATAAAGCAAGACAAACCCTCTTCAAAAATCTCATATGTTTATAGAATAACGCGCACAAGTATAAAGATCATATATACAGTATGGTCAATACTTTTCTTTAGATTCTGAAAGCTGGACAAAAACCAGAGAAATGGTGAGCAAACTGGACGTAGTAGAAATGTTTCTCAGAAAAATATTGACAGTTTCGTGGAAAGAGTTGAAACCAAATTTTGAACCCTTTCTTAGTGAAACCAGTCTAAATATTTTACAAAATCAGTTTGTCTTTTTAAGAGATGATTGCTGGGGGTGGGGGGGGAGGGGTGTAATTGACACACATAATAATATATTATGCTGTCACACTTTATTTTTTTTTGGAAAAGATTGACAGAAAAGGGGGCAACGGCAAGCCAAGAGCGACCTAATAATAATTATTATACATCTAAAACATTAAATTTCTTGCAAACTGGAAATGATCAGGATGCTGCAACATTTCTTCGTATGACCGAATATTGGACAGAATGGAGAGCCGTGGTCGCCAAAGCGAGTTCAAGACAGAAGATCCGACACTTGAGAGAGAGAGAGAGAGAGAGAGAGAGAGAGAGAGAGAGAGAGAGAGAGAGAGAGAGAGAGAGAGAGTTCCAGATGGAAAACTCAAAGAAGTTGACCCTTCCTTGAGAACACCAATAGTTCAGTTTGCATTACACTCAACTAAATCTAAGCATGACTCTGATTCCAGTCGCCTACGGAGTATGATATTTTGACTTGCACAGTTTTCAAGGCTGTCCACTCTCTTGGCTTTACATGATACCAGAGAGTCTGTATACTAGCTCTCTGATGATACTATAATGCGATAAAAAAATTCGTGACGCAACTTAAAATAAAATATTCCTCTACTATCGAACAAAGACTCTCCATCTTCTACACTATGACTTGTATCAATTTGTCTTAACATATCTATATTTTTTTAACATCTGTTAGCTGTATTCAAGAAAATTCCTTTATACAAACAAATAAAAAAATCCAAATGGGTGGTTTCTACAGATTTTATAAGGTTTACAGCTGGGGCAATATCGCTTTTAAAAGCAAGTCCGTTATTTTTTCTAATCGCCACATTGTGAGCATTAAACACATTGTTTGAGAACCTTTACTGGAAATATAATATGTTCGATCTAAAATGAATTTCTTGCAACAAGTTTTGCCACTAAAGAGTGTTTGATGAGCTGTGACGTAGGTCTCCTGCATGCAAAATGTGTGTGAGAAGCAATAAATGCTGTGAACAATCCCATTTTTTGCGTGACGGAGACTTTTTTAATCTAACCTCATTTATTGTGGAAGAATATGATTAAGTTAAGACAATTTGTTACAAACTGCTGTGCAAAGTATGGGTGATATAGATTCATTCGTGAAATAGATATTTGCGCAACGAAATTTTGACCGCGTTGTATTGGAAACTGCTTTATATATTTGAAAGTCCTGCCTCTCAGTAGACCTTACAGCGCTAAAATGGCAGTCAAACTAATACTAAAGATTCTCTAATTGAGAATATTGCTAATACCACTCAACGTTGAAGCGTGCGTTAGAAGTGTGAAAGGTTAAAGAGTAAAGGTGGAATGTGTTAAGGCGAGTGCTCCAGAACTCAGGCCGACATAGAAAGAAGAATGAAACTTATGGAAGGCTGTGTGTGTTATGGAGGCACCAAGAATAGGCAACGTACGTCATAGTTATGTGGTTCAAAGCAGTCAAATACATTCCGTATCTCTCTCTCTCTCTCTCTCTCTCTCTCTCTCTCTCTCTCTCTCTCTCTCTCCCTCCCTCTCCCCCCCCCTCTCTCTCTCTCTCTCTCTTTATCTCTTAGGGCTGTTTTGTTATAGGCAGGAACTTCCTGCTGTGCTGAGAACACGCGCTCTCTAGCGACGTTATAAAAGCGGAAGCAAGCAGATGTCATGAGAAACTGCTATAAACAATTAATAGCTCATGGTTAGATCCAAGCTGGCGCTTTTACGGTTACTTTGTACTAGAGTCTATCTGTGAGACCAGGAAGGCGAGGAATGGGGACGGGGGTAGTTTTTTTCCTTTTTTCTTTAGGGGAGGGGGGGGGGTGTCGACAGGCGGAGGACGGCGATGGTGGAATCGAGAATTGTGAGTAAGTGTGAGTACGTGTTGTGGTTGTGGCATGGGTAAAGTGACATTACACTACGAAAGTCATTTCTCTAGCCATCACATCAAAACAAGGATATGTAGGAGGAAAAACAACATTGGTGTGCGCTACTCTCGCTTGAGTCTCCCATGAAACATTCTTTTTTAAAAAGTTGTTTCCATAGGCTACCTCCCTCTACGTTGGTTCTATTTGAGAAAGAGGTATTTGTCTTAGAAACCCGTTGAGTGTAAATCCACAATCCGTAGGGTCTAGTGAGTAAATAGGGTTTTATCTCTTCTGAACTCTTTGAAAGCCAATACAGTATTATAAACTCCTCGAAAAAAAAACAAGTTTTTTGTTCGATGTGTGCATTAATCTACTTTGAGCACAGGCAGTTTCTAAAGGTCTTGTAATTAAATTCCTGAATGTGGTTGAATTATGCCACTCATGTGATATGAACATTTTGTCAGCTCTACTTTTCTTTTCATATTGAATTTTAATGAGAGTAACATATTTAATTTTTACTTGCGTGTGTTTTCATGGTCCTGTACAGCCCAGAAAAATTTCCCTATGCGACAATAAAGTATTATCTTATTTTATCATCTTATCCTATCTTAATCTGAGCCTTTTTTCTTACACTTTTAATCTGTACTTCATTCTTTTGTCTCTGTTCTGATATAAAACCAAACAAGCTTATGCAGGTAGAATGGCACGAGACAGAGTGTTTTATTGTAGAGAGGCTCGAAAAGCAACACCTACAACAACTGGAATAGTTTTATGAAGAAGAAAGAGGGAGAAGTCTGTTACAGAAAATACGCCCAGTGCCTGGCCTCTTTGTTTGTTTTAGTAAGAGTTTGTTTTTGCGGCACGAAGATTTGAGTAGTTACAAGATAGTAAAAAGCTTTGAAAAGAAATTGGAAAGATAAGTACAATAGATGTTTGAATTAAAAAATGGCCAAAACACACCACTACACCCGCCAACCATCCATGTGACTGTCCTTTCTCAAAGTCTGTCATGTTTACAGCACACTGGTCTAGTGCAGCCATGGAAACCGCTCTTGCTTGGAAACAGTTACTATTGTTCCTGTGTTCAAAACTGGCGTTAAATTAATACCATACGTTACATTGGAGCCATCGTCAATAGCACAGACAGGCAGATGCAGTTAATACACAAAAGCACTCAAATAAACAGACACAGCAACAGTCAAACCTAGTGGAAGAGATAAGAACAGGCACAGGGAGACAATAGTTTTTGATTGCACGCAACGTCACAAAAACTGGTTGTGACACCCTTTTTTAATGCAAAAAAGCCATACTAAACAATAATTATGATACTATTTGTGTTAAGCATCATGAATAATATTAGTGTTACTATCCCGTCGGGGAATAACCTTACACCCTTTCATTCACCACGAATGCCCAGTCAATTGATCGTAAACCCATCCTCTGACCATGTGTCGTATGTGATAAAAGAGAATCAGTGCGGAACATTCAAAGTGCGGGTGGCTGGAGGGCTCCACTCGTTCCTACTTCTTTTCTTTCCCTCTGTTATGTCTATCTGCCTTGCTTCATCCCTGAATGCACTATATTTATGACCGTTATTGCGTCAATGTGCCCTAACTTAAACTCAAACCATCCAAAGTGTTGCAGAATATATTATATTAATGGTAATCCAGCTGGACATATCTACAGATCTGTGTAGATAGTTGATATGTATGTAAGTATGTATGTGTATATATATATATATATATATATATATATATATATATATATATATATATATATATATATATATATATATATATATATACAGATAGATAGATAGATAGCTAATATATATATGTATATGTATATAAACATACATACATATATATATGTATATATATATGTATATATATATATATATATATATATATATATATATATATACATATTTTGGCAATAAGTAGGGGGTGGGGGGGCGGGAGATATGGAAGAGGGGGGGGGGGGAGAGCATGTGGTCTCTTCACTTGTTGTCTGTTACGGCGTTTATGAGTGAAGAGAGTGTCATTCAGTATGTCGTGTAGCGAGCCATGCTGTGTCCAATGTTCGTCCACCTCTGTGTATTATCGTCAGTTGCTGTCTACCACCCGAACAAGTAGTATTGTGTTTATTGTTCAGGCCTAATACAGCAAAGTTTTCAAGTATGGCTTATTCGTCTTGTGATATGAAGTATGGAGGGGCAGAAACTTAATTCGAGCAGCTTCACAACAGACCAAGCTCCTTACCCCCCCCCCCCCCCCCCCCCACCACACACACACACACACACACACACACACACACACACACACACACACACACACACACACACACACACACACACACACACACACGAGCGCGTGCATAAACCCCTTCCTTTTCCATTCCATATGGTCTGCCTCCACAATACATAATTTTTCTTTAACCACAATCAATTCAACTCTTTAGACACACCCACCTGCACAAGGCGACGCCCCCCCCCCCCCCCGAGCCATCCCCTCCTGACAAAAACCCTCTCCCACAAACCTTTCCATCAAAACAATAGCTGTCTACAGGTAATTTGAAAGTTGAAACAAACGAATATACAAACACACACAGTGGTATAGATCTAGATCTAGATCTAGCGACAGATAGATTTTATCTTACACAGCAAAACATCTTGCCCCATGCCTTCTCCGTCGTTTTAGCACTTGCAAAACAATCCGCCAGCCCATTATCAAGAGCAAATCGATGACCAAACAAGAGAGCAACGGTGGAGTCTGGACTTACCTTAAGGAGTAGGACCAAAAGATGAAATATTTTCAGCTGGAATAGCTTGGGACATAAACAAACATTTGTTAAAACCGTGATGATGATGAAACAGGCTGTGTTAACACACCCACACACAGAGGAATGACGCGTTCTACACGCACGTGTGCCGCTCACTCAGACGCAGGCGGGGCGGGCTGAACGATCGATGATTGCTCACGCGCACAATGAATCAATCCAGGAGTTCCAGTGCTAGGGAGTAGGGACGAGCAGGGAGCGGGAAAGGAGAGGATAAAAATAGGGCGAGTACGTTGCATCAGGTCAGCTAGGTCGAGTTCTGTTGCCTGCGCGCTCACACGCATTGACTCCGGCGCATACTTGAGCTCAACGCATTTACTATTTTATAAAAGACCTGTAGAAGATTCACCTCTTTCTGAGCGCAATAATGCCGCCCCTTGAAGAAACAACAAGTTATTTTTGTACAGAGCTCGATACTGAACTCACAGTGTGTTTGTGAACATTGAACGAATGTCAGTTCTTCCTTATTTATTAAGGGGGTTTCCCACGTACAGTTAGTATGAATAAAGTTTGGTCTCCAACTGGCCTTAGGCCGATCAAAAGTTATCAGGTTATTGCATGCAGCGGTCAAACTGAATGCAATCCAAATCACACACACACACACACACACACACACACACACACACACACACACACACACACACACACACACATACATTTATATTACTATTATATAATATATATTATATATTATAATATAATATAATATATATATATATAATACCCGTCTACAAAGCAGAAATGTTACAAACATACTTGACCGACGTCTGTGCTATAGCAGTCAGGCCCTTCGCTGTCGTACACAGGAGACCCGAGTTCGTTTCCCGAATGAGGAAAAATAAATCTCGTGTCTCGGTCTTTCTTCTCCTTTTTTTAACCTTTAGTACGGCGCTCACAATTATCGCATAAGGTCAAATTAGCGCGCATGACACATAAAGCATTTTCAGTTTGGTAGGAATTCATTCTGAATGTTGCTTAGGTGGCGATCGAAGCCTACTCTTATCGATTTTAGGACTACCAATGAATCGTTAATGTGCGCAGCTTGCACACCGGACCTCAGAGTTATTTTTCGCCCTTTTTCAAGAAGGCTAGGTCAGGGGTGTGGCTGAAAGACAGAAGTATACTAGTAAGAAGAAGCCAAGGAGTAGCTGCAGAAAACCTGCAGAAAGAGCCAGGAGCCCAAAGGAGGGGACAAAGGGGGGGGGGTTAGAAAGTGGAGACGAAAGCAGACGGTAGAACATGGTTAGAGGGCAGGAAACGAAGTGAAAGAAGAACATTTTAGAGAAGAAAATGTTCCGTTCCTGTCAGATTTCGAACCCGAGATTTATTGAATGAAATGCGAACACCGTGCCTCTAGACCACGGGAGTCCCCCAGTCTGTCTCCTGGGACGTTGTGTCCCTTTTTTCCGGGTTGGTCCAGACCAGTAAGGTCGGAAGCCCGCCTCCCAAATGACCTTTATTGTGTCAATGGGGACATAAAAAAAAACACCTACGTTAAAAAGGGTGCTCAAACAATATATAATTATCCTTTGATGATAATAAACAATGTAGAGTTTTCAAAAACAAGTCCTTTCAAAGGGAAATTGTTATTTAAGCAAATTCTATTGCGGACAAAACAGCATTTTTATTGTATAAATATGTAATGTATATTATATATATATATATATATATATATATATATATATATATATATATATATATATATATATATATATATATATATATATATATACGAATGTTGAAAAAAGGAGATTGAGAAAGAGAAAAAAAAAAGATGGGGACAAGATGAGGATGAAGAAGGGAGACAGAGGAAAGAAAGAGAGGGGGAGAGCCAGAGAGATAATATAGAGAAAGAGAGAAAAAGAGAGACACGAAATAAAGAGTGAGGGAGTGAGAAAGAGACACACATTGTAATATAATAATAGCGGCGTCTTTAGAAACTTCAAAATGTAATCACCCAGTCATCGTGTTAAAGGCTTGCAGTAGCTGCTTATGCAGCATACCAATTTAAAGCTGAATAAGTTCGTCATTATCTGACACATTAATCTTTCATCTATATTAAGACACACCCGAGATGTGGTCACTCAAAATTGACCTTTAAAAAATCAGGCATGGGCAAATTGTGCAAAATCAGAGAAACGCAAACGTGTGTTCGCGCGTATATGGAAGTGTATCAACATTGGTGGAATAGACACTCATTGAATACCAAGTGAAAAGAGAATATTATTGTCTTTGAAATGAACAGCATCTTCTGATGATATTTTCAAACAGATTGGAGAACAGAGCAGTTACAAATACCACACAAAACCTGGACTTAACATTAGTCTTAATTTTGACTTTGTTTAGGAGCTAATGGTTTCGTGTCGAGCACAAACCTTTTTTTGCACATGGACTGTGTTAGTGAGACTTTGGACATAAGCATCTGCCAGTGAAAAACGGAGGCCACGAAACTGCCCTTGTGGAATGAACAGAACCGTCCTCATGAGAATAACTGTGTGGCTTGGTTTAGTGGACTACATCCGGCAAGTGCAAGAGCGTCATGTCTTGCCCTTATTTTCGTCATGGTGTCATTCAAACAGATATCTCCATGCATAGCAAATAACTTTCTCACAGGGCCAGTGCCTCTAGATAATTATTTGTGAACCAAATCAAATCAACGTTTGCGTGGTCATAAGTGAATCCAACAGGTATGTGAAGAGTGAAGTACCATGAAACAGCAGCTGAAGAAACGCAACTTTGCTCCCAACTCAGACCCTTTGTTTGCAACTCTCTGTTATAGTTGGGATCAAAATGACAGATAATTATATCAAAAGTTTAATAGAATCAATGCCCAAAGGGTTTGTGCTCTACACAAAACTAACGGCTCGTAAGCAAAATAATAATTAGCACATTTTATGTTAAGTCCAAGTTTTTGCATGGTATTTGTGATGGCTCTGTTTTTCGTTTTGTTTGAAACTATTGTTACAAAATATCAAAACAGAATTTTGTTTGTTGCAATACAAAATTCTCCATTCATTGGATATGTAATGTATGTCCATTCTATCAATATTCAAGCTCTCCAATACACGCACGAAGACAATTTTATATTTTCTTGATTTCGCACAATTTTGCCAAGCCTGATTTTTAAGGTCAATTTTGAGTGACCATATTTCGGGTGTCTCTTAAAATAGATGAATTAATAATATGTCAGATAATGCAGGATTTATTTAGCTTTAAATTGGTGTGCTGCATGAGTAGGCAATGCGAGGCTTTAACACGACGATTTGGTGGTTACATTTTCAAGTTTCTTTTGGACAGCACTGACTAGAGAGACTAAGAGGGAGAGAGAATGGGAGAAAGAGAAAGCTCGCGCGCGCGCACGAGAGAGAGAGAAAGAGAGAGAGAGAGAGAGAGAGAGAGAGAAGGGGAGGGGGGAGAGAGGGAGAGAGATAGTCTATCTGTTACATATTTTCTGAATGCTTACATGAGATTATTTATCTTCTTTTAGGCGGTATCCTCTATTGCTCGTGGATCAAATTGTTTTCAAAATGTGATAAGTTTTTCCAAATTTGGTTTTTCGTATAACTCATTAAGTTGATTCTTGAAACATGAGATCGAAACCGAAGTGGTATGCACGAGTGCCTGAGTTTTCGGATGTGAGGATGAATAATATAAGGAATGAAAGATAGTTACAGCTAATGATATTATCATATTACACGATGAGGATGGACTGACGATCGGCCGAAGTCCCAAAATCTGCCCGTTTCAACTGAACGCGTAATACCCCCTTTACACAGAAGTGTTTTACGATTAGAAGTAGGGCAGCAAGACCTATATATAACTGAGCTCTCATTTAACCGGTACCGTAACAATGTCATGACCTGCTGGAAGGAAGACAACTATGTGATTCATCCCCGATAAGGGGCTCTCTTTGGCCAGAAGTAGAAGTACGGTGTTCGCCTCACAGTCATAATGTTCTGGGGTCAATACCAGTTGCAAAAGGAAATTTTCTTCTCTTGAATATTCTCCTATTCGGAAAAAAGAGAACGTTGTCTTGTCCTGTTCTGTCATCAGTTTTCATCTCAACTCTTCCACCCCACCCCCTGCCCCTTTTTGCTCCTCCCCTCTTTACTCATGACTCTTTCTAATGCTACTCTTGGATCTTGCTGCCGTCTTTTATCCCTAACCCCTGATCTAGAGGTAAAAAAAATAATGAAAGCCTAGCCTTCTCGGAAATAGAAGAAAAATATCAGAAAGCACGTGTGCAAGTTGGGCATTCTAAAGATTCTTCGTGTGTTCCTCAAATCGATAAAGAGTAGGCTTTGGCCGCCACCCGAGCAAGATTCAAAATTGATTCCGACCAAAATAGAATTTAAAGAAAATATAGAATACCTTCGGAATTGGAATGTGGCTGCCTGAAAGCAAAGGTCCTGAAGAAGAAGGGAAAATGGTCTGATAAGGCAAAAATCAGTTGTACCTCAGGTTATTGAATCAGCAGTCGACTACCCCTGAGCTCTACTTGGGGAAAGTGAGGGAAAAAAATCAGCCTTAAAACGTTTTCATCTCGTAGAAAACTTGCTGATCCTGTACTTTCACTCTAAAAGAGAGGGGGAAACAGAGAGACACAAACAGAGAGAGAGAGAGAGAGAGAGAGAGAGA